TTTGTGTCTGTGTTTCCCTAGTGTTTCCTCGTCAGTTTAATTGGTGCCACCTTTGTCTCATCACAGCTGTTGTAATCACGTCTTGTCTTGTCCTTGTATAAAAGCTGTCTGTTCTGTGTTGTTCCTCGTCGGGTCGTATTCGTTGGGTCTCTGCGTTCTCCTGTGTTCTCCTGCGTCTCCCCTGAGCTCTCCTGAGTCCTCCCTGAGTTTCCCTCTGAGCCTTCTGTCATCACGTAAGTTTTGCTGCCTCGTCAGCGTGTTATTTTGTAAATACACTCCTCCATTAAATACTTATTTTTGTAATCTGCCGAGTTGAGTCCTGTCTGCACTACTGGGTTCGTTCCTGTCCACAAAATCCTGACAGCTTCACTGCAGATGCTGCACCTATCCGCCTATCGAGCTCATGCTCCATTTTTCCCTCATTCGTGAACAAGACCCCAAGATATTTGAACTCCTCCACTTGGAACAGGACCCCCTCCCTGACCCGGAGAGGGCACTCTACCCTTTTCCGGTTCAAGACCATGGCCTTGGATTTGGAGGAACTGATCTTCATCCCGGCCGTGTTGCACTTGGCTGCGAACCACTCCAGCGAAAGCTGTAGATCACGAGCTGATAAAGCCAATAGGACCACATCATCTGCAAAAAGCAGAGACACAATCCTAAGGCCACCAAAATGGATTCCCTCAACACCTTGGCTGCACCTAGAAATTCTGTCCATAAAAGTTATAAACAGAATCGGTGACAAAGGGCAACCTTGGCGGAGTCCAACTCTCACTGGGAACAAGCTCGACTTACTGCCGGCAATGCGGACCAGGCTCTGACACCAGTCATACAGGGACCTAACAGCTCATAACAAAGGGCCCGGTACCCCATACTCCCAGAGTACCCCCCACAAGGCTCTCCAAGGGAGGCGGTCGAATGCCTTCTCCAAGTCCACAAAGCACATGTAGACCGGTTGGGCAAACTCCCACGCACCCACCAGGACTCTGCCGAGAGTGTAGAGCTTGTTCAGTGTTCCACGACCAGGACAAAAATCGCACTGCTCCTCCTGAATCCGAGGTTCGACTATTCGACAGACCCTCCTCTCCAGAACCCCAGAATAGACCTTACCAGGGAGGCTTAAGAGCGTGACCCCCCTGTAGTTGGAACACACTCTACGGTCCCCCTTTTTGAATAGGGGGACCACCATCCCTGTCTGCCAATCCAGGGGAACTTCCCCTGATGTCCACGCAATATTGCAGAGTCGTGTAAGCCAACACAACCCTACAACATCCAGAGCCTTAAGGAACTCCGGGCGAATCTCATCCACCCCTGGGGCCCTGCCACCAAGGAGCTTTTTAGTTACCTCGGTGACCTCAGCACCAGAGATTGGAGGGCCCGACCCAGAGTCCCCAGGCTCCGCTTCCTCAGTGGAAGATGAGCCGGTGGGATTGAGGAGGTCTTCAAAGTATTCTGCCCACAGACCCACGACATCCTGAGTGGAGGTCAGCAGCACACCACCCCTACTATAAACAGTGTTGGTGGTGTACCGCTTTCCCCCCTGAGATGCCGGATGGTGGACCAGAATCACCTCGAAGCCATGCGGAAGTCATTCTCCATGGCCTCTCCGAACTACTCCCATGCCCGAGTTTTAGCCTCAGCGACCACCTAAGCCGCATTTCACTTGTACTGCCTGTACCCATCAGCAGCTTCTGGGGTCCCACAGGCCAAAAAGGCCCAATAGGACTCCTTCTTCAGCCTGACAGCATCCCTCACCACTGGTGTCCACCACCGGGTTCGAGGGTTGCCACCGCGACAGGCACTGACAACCTTGCGGCCGCAGCTCCGGTAAGCCGCCTTGACAATAGAGGCATGGAACATGGTCCACTCGGACTCAATGTCCCCCTCCTCCCCCGGAACATGTTCAAAGTTCTCCCTGAGGTGGGAGTTAAAGCTCCGTCTCACAGGAGACTCTGCCAGACGTTCCCAGCAAACCCTCACAATACGTTTGGGTCTACCAGGTCTGACCGTCATCCTCCCCCACCATCGGAGCCAATTCACCACCAGGTAGTGATCAGTGGACAGCTCCGCCCCTCTCTTCACCCGAGTTTCCAAGACATGTGGCCGCAGATCAGATGAGACGACGACAAAGTCGATCATCAAACTGTGGCCTAGGGTGTCCTGGT